AGCAAAATTGATAAACTTAAAATCACAGTGGACATAGCATGTATGTCATTCCACCTTGGCATCAATGGGCTAAAAAGATATAAATGTGCAATTTTGCATTTTGCATTCATGAATGCAGATAAGCCAAGAGGACATGTGTGGGATTTTTAAAATTAATTTATAAAGTGTCTTGTACAACACTGTCTTCATATCCCTTGATTTTTTTCCAGGCACATACACAAGAAGTGCCGAGAGCTGTGGTGGCAGGGCCTTCCGTCGTGTGTGAGGGGGAAAGTGTGGAAGCTGGCAATAGGAAATGACCTTAATATAACGCCACAACTGTACACCATTATGGTTCAGAGGTAATGCACTTTTGTTATCATGATCATATTAGCATTAGTTTTGTTTCAAGGATTTGTAATCTGAATATGCATGAAGGTATAGAAACTTAACCCTTCGAAATTGGCTCTTGTTTTGGCTGTTGGTGGGTTTCCAACTGCAATGCAAGAGGCTGTCAGTTCAGCGTTATTCGAACATCTAGAATTGAGTAACCTTATATCTGATCAGGTATATATTTCACAATTGCAGCCATCAGGATTACTCTGTAAACTGCCAGTTGAGAAGTACTTTCAGAATTGTGTGTCCTTAATGTATTTTTGGTCTGTGGGTATTGAAAAAAAAAAAAAAAAATATATATATATATATATCCATAGATCTTCCATGTGAGAATGATTATTATTGCATCATTAATGTTGCAGTATTTTGTAATATTCTTGTAATTTTTTTTCTTACTATTGTACTTGCTAATGGTTTTGCCGTACGGTGACTACAGTTCAGTGTACTTCAAATCCTTAAAAGGAAATAACAACCTGAAAATGGTTGTGACTAATGATTAATTAATTATAATATAACAAGATAGCAACAGTTTACAACACTATACAGTGACCTTAACTCTACAAATATTGCTTCCGTCATAGGTCGGTAGAGAAGCTGGTCAGCCTGAGTGAGTGCGGAAGCATGGCCAGCCAAGAGGACATGACGAGTGACTGTGGGGATCAGGAGGCCACAATCGACCTCATAAGGCTAGATGTGTCAAGAACCTTTCCCAACCTGTGCATCTTCCAGAAGGTGAGTTGCGGAAGATCTCGTTTTGTGGGTGTGTTGGGGGGCTTTTGATTCATGCAATGATCATTAGCTTCAAACTCTTTAAAAAGAATTTTCTTTTGAAATGCAGGTCTGGGCAGTGGATCTGAATCTTTTTCTCAATACTCACAATGAATTTCCTCTTCCAGGGAGGACCCTATCATGATCCCCTTCACAACATCCTTGGGGCCTATGCCTGCTACCGTCCCGATGTTGGCTATGTGCAGGGCATGTCCTTTCTAGCAGCCACTCTGCTGCTCAACATGGACGAGACCGATGCATTTATCGCGTTCTCTAATCTCCTCAATCGGCCGGCACACATGGCATTCTTCAGAGTAGATCAACCTGTGGTAAGATCATTTCCCTGTGTACATCTTTTTTTTAATTTTCTTTAAAAAATTTCCACTTTATCTTTATGTAAATTTTAAAGCATTATGATTTTTGGTTGGTTTCATTTTGATGTTTGCAATACATTTTGTTGTAAATTTCTCTGAGGCTAAGCTTGATTATATATTCATATATATAGCTTCAAAAGGAATTGTATTGATAATTTATCTAGTTATATATATCATGAATAGTGGGTACAGTTCACTTAGCAAAGGTTTCACAATGCTAATCACATTGGAAGAACAAGAAAAAGGAAATGATCTAAATCTCAAGACCCTTCCTCCAGATGTGCGCATACTACAACGCCTTTGAAGAGCTCCTAGCCATTAATCTCCCACATCTTGCGGAGCACTTGCGGAACATTGAGGTCACGCCAGACCTCTACATCCTGGACTGGCTGTTGACGGTGTTCTCACGGCCTCTACCTATCGACGCTGCAGTTAGAATATGGGACGTTTATCTCAGAGACGGAGAAGAGTTTCTGCTTAGAGCTGCCATTGGTGTGTGAGCCCTTCTTTCTTTTTTTTTTTTTTTTCTTTTTCTTTTTATTTTTAGCTCAGCTTTGTAAAGAAAATTTAAGGAGTTTATTTTTTAGAATTTGCCCTTGTTTATTGATCTGTATCTTTTTTTTTTACCTTTTCTTTTCTCTTCCATTTTCAGTTATTTTTCCTTGATGTAGGTTTTCTACAGTTTATTAAAAAGCTTCTTACTAATGGAACATAGAGACCATTTTGATCATTAGCATTCATCTTGTGAGAGTAATTTTATGAGTGTTAAGTTATCAGCTAGCTTATTCCTATTGCTTTTTCCAGGTATCCTAAAACTGTATGAAACTGTCCTGACCAACCAGGAGTGCACTGCCACCGCGGCTCAGTTCCTCACCCGCTTGCCAGAGGACCTCGGCGCAGACGCTCTCTTCCGAGCCATTGCATCCGTCCGAACCTCCGCCCACAAACGCACATTCACACAGATCCTGCAAGCGCACATGGACGCCGCGGCCAGTCACTCTGTATGATTTCCGGCCGATGTTAATTGCAGTTTATTGTTATTATTTTTGTATTTATTGGTGGATTTTTTTATGGTGTATATGCTTGTTTTGGCCGCGACTGAGAAAGCTGAGATAAGAAAGTTAAGGAGAGTTAAGGATTATGAGTTGTGTGATAGGTTATCTTGCGTTAAGAAACATTTTTTTTTATGATCTGATTCAGGTTCACAGTTTGTATCGAGTTATTACGGTATATGAGTATTTATGTAAACTTGAAAAGTCAATAGAAACTACATTTTTGTTTTATGATGATTATTATATTTTTTTCTATTTCTCTTTGAAGACCAAGCAGTTACATAAATGAATACTGTAGAATATAAAACCTATGCCAAAATCATATGACACTCCATTTCATTCATACATCAAAACATTATTCATAGCTCAATGCTCTAACCCACCTTTGCGCTGTTTCGTTCAGAAGCTGATGACGATGACTGGGTACCTGCAAGAAAGTGAGATTTTTATGTCATCTTCCCACGTCCCGTTAACGTAATGAAGGGGCTCTTTTCTGCTTTTGATATAATCTCCTTTTTTTTTATATATATATAATATAATATATAGTATAAACATCTTTTTATTTTTTCATATTTAAAAATGCTGCAGATCTTCCTATCTGATAGGTTTAATGGGGGCATACCTGCAGGACCAAACGCTTGTACAGGTTAGTGATAGATAGATAGCGTAAGTTTGCCACGAGAATGTCTGGCGGTGAAATAGTAATGTCGGGTATGATTTAATTAGCCGAGAAAAGGATTCTTTTTATTAGGATTTTGATTATTATTATTGTTATTAATATTATTATTACTATTATTTTCATTATTATCATTATTGCTGCTATTATCATTTTTATTTTCATTATTATTATTATTATTGTTTTTTTTATTTTGTTATATTGTTATTGGTATTTTTATTATTATTGTCATTGGTATTTTTATGTTATTGATATTATTATTATTATTATTATTATTATTATCCTCATTATTATTACAATTGTTATTACTATTGATATGATTTTTTTACTCATTGCTCGTAGCTTGGTTTTACCTCTCTTTGATATTTTATGAGATTGAACCAGAGAAATTAATGAGAAAGATATTCAACTTCACTTTTGACACATATGTTGCTTCTTTGGTATCTCACAAAAATTACTTTATCATAATTTCTTCTTATTTTTTCTCCTCTTTTTAAAGAAAGAAGAAAAAGACAAAAGAATTTCTTCTTTGAAATAGGTGTGAAGTGTGGAAAAGTTTTTTTTTTTTCCAGAATACTCCGAGGCTTTCATTGACGGTGCTTTTGTAATGTTTATTTTGCTCTTTTCTTTCTCTCTTATTTATTTATTTATATTTTTTAATCAAAGGAAACACATGGAAAGATCATTTTCGCGAAGACGAAAAGGAAGACACATGAGACGTCATCCCCCTGACTCAGACATCTGTTGAATCATCTTTTTTATATAAAACTGTGATAATTAAATACTCACATTACATATAACTCTCATCATCTAACTTTTTGACATCAGCTGTGATTTAGGTTTTTTGAAATGTGTCCTCCCCCTCACTCACTCCTCCCCCTCCTCTTCCTTTTTCCTTTTCATGTCCTCTCCCAACTCCCACTCCTTCCTCCACTTCCCTCATCTTCCCCCTTTCTCTCTTCTCTCCCCTCTCTTCTTTCCTTCCATTTCCCTCTGCTTCCCCTTCCTTTCCTCTTCTCTTGCTTCCCTCCACCGGTTTTCCTTCTTCCCTTCCACTTCCTTCTCTTTCTTCCCATGCTTCCTTGTCCTCTTTCTCTGTATCACTGCTATTCCTTTTCTCTTCCCCCTCCTCCTTCACCCTTTCCTCTCCCTCCTTATCTCATCTATTATATTCTTCTTCATACCTCTACCTCCACTTCCTCTGCTTCTTCTTCTTTTTTGTCCTCCTCCTCCTTCTCCTCCTCTTCCTCTTCTTCTTCTCTTCTTCTTCTTCTATTCCTCCTCCTCCTCCTCTTCCTCCTCCTCCTTCCTCCTCCTCCTCCTCCTCCTCCTCCTCCTCCTCCTCCTCCTCCTCCTCCTCCTCCTCCTCTTCCTCCTCCTCCTCCTCCTCCTCCTCCTCCTCCTCCTCCTCCTCCTCCTCCTTTCCCCAATTTTCCTCTGCAAAAGAAAGCTGCTTTTGAAGAACAGCATGATTATGCGATTGTAATTCTAAACGACCATTCTTATATCCGTGATAGATATTTATGCACTGACGTTACAAGCAATGAAGGTAATACCAAGCTATATATGTGTGTGTATGTGTGTGTTTGTATATATATAAATATATATTATATCTTGTCAGGATTCGTCTTAACTTTGCATCAGTTGTTTGGTGATGTGGAATTAGGATTCTTGAGCCAACAGCACTGATATTCAATGCTATGGCAAAGAAAAAGAAAAGACCAATTGGATGCGCCGTGTGGGCCACCTTTAAATACAGATACCTACAATGCTAAATGCTTTGAACTAAAATGCTGCAATTGTCTGTGGCACTTGAACAGGTCACTGCGGATCCTAGTGCCGTGCTTGTGACGACGTAGGCTCACAGGGAGGCTCGGATCGTCCTAATTGTTATGTATATTGTGAGGTATGGCTAGATATCTGTACACTCCTTTCTACTCAAAGATATGTGTTGTTATTGTTAAATGTACTGTAGTGATCTTATGAAATTAGCTTTTCTCTTTTTTATTTATTTTTTTCGTTTTAGAATATTTGTAATTTTTTTTATAATTATTTTTAAGGAAGAAAACAAACAAAATTTTTTAAGTATACACATTTCATATATATGTATGTATTTTTTTTCTCTCTTTCTCTCGATCTGGTTAGCAGAAATGTTTAACCGATTATCCACACACTCCGACTGTACTGTCACATGAATTTCATTTACAGTCAGCTATCCATACCTTCCCTTAGTGCCCTCATCCCTCAACGCAAGTGTAACCATCATTACGGCAAATGATGCAGGGGGGATGCTAAAGCCCATATTTCGGCTTTAATTGGAGTTAGTAATCAGTGTTTTCTTTTGTATCAGGCTTGTAAAAATTGCTTATAAATATGCAATGAAAGTAATTTTTTTCCCCAAAAATTTAACCAGGGTATAAATGTTAGTATGGATATAAAAGAAGTTACAGATTTTTTAAATACAAAGTCTCGCTTCTTCATCATCCCATTCACATCCTTTGCTGTAGTAGCGGTATCTTGCCCTCCCCTACACACACACGCATCACTCCTCCACACTCCCCCGCACACGCACATACACCTCTCCTCCCCCTTTGTCTCTTGTCTTTCCCCCTCTCCCAAACTTTTGCAGTGACCCCTCACTCTATCCAGATCTGCATGACTGAATCTCCACACACATCCTGTTGTATCGCCATTTCATTTTGTTTTCTATCCGGACTGCTTCGTTAATGTTCGGCATTTTTTGTACATTTGTCAAAGGTGAAGCAAAGGGTATATAAAAAGCTAAGTTCTGTAGTGAGGTTACTTCTAGTACTCCTACAGCGTGTCTCGTTATGTCTCTTGATCGAGAGCATGCTTAGATCTGTGACAGGCCAAATCTTACTTTTAAATTGATGTTTTGTAAGTGTTTAGAAGACAAAAAGAAAATGAAGTGAGATATACAGTATACTGTGTAAATATTTTGTAGATTTTTATAATTGATTTGTCTTCTGTGTAAGAGATTGGATTTCTTATATATGCCAATAGAATATCATGCAGTTGAACAAAAAATAGTTTATTTGATTACAAATTCTGTAAAAAAAAATTATGTGATATATAAACTTAAATAATCTGAAGGAATCAACAGCTTCCATATGGATGTTTTTGGTTCCTCAAAACGAATAGTGAATAATTTCTACTTAAGGCATTACTGTGGAATTGAAGAGTTTAAGACAGTTTAATATTCATGGTAAATTCACTGCCAGAGGTTAAAAAGATTATCTTCTTGGGGTCCAGAATTTAATGTAATAATCTATATTTTGATGTTTATTTGGAGTACTTTTGAACACACAGAATAGTTTATTATTTCAGAAGTATTTTAATATGTTAATTGTTAAGCAAACAAGACAAAATTTATCTATGGAGGACTTCAAACAGAGTAGATTACTGAATAATAAATTGTAGTGTTGGATTTCGACCATGACCCAACAAAAGGGTTGTTATTACATAGCTTTTGTGCAATTTGTCACTTTTGCTCCACAAGCTAAAAAAAAAGGTATATTTATTAAGCTCCCTTCACCAGTACAGAACTTCAAAAATCCATAGTTTGCATTTTTTTTCTTTTATCTAAATTACACACAACCAACCACTCACATCGAGAAATATTGACTTTGGAAAAAATGAAAGAAAAAATCCCATATATGTTGTGATTTGGAAGTATGTGAGTGATTACAACTTCGTTTTGTTATGAGATAGGTTGTTACTCCCATTTTTGCAGTCTCCTTTTTTTCCCCAATGTAGTTAGTCATTTACAAATGCACACATAAGCATATACATGTACTCTCATACATACATACACACATGTATATATGAATACACCTACACCTACAGGCGCATTTTTTTTTTTTTTTTTTTTTTTTTTTTTATACATGTATGTACATGGACATGCACGCTGCATATGTATAAATAAACATTAAATATGTATATCTAACCATCCAGATTATGTGGAATTTTGGCTTTTACTCTGGCCTGCATGATTATGACTGCTCTTTTTTTTATTTTGTAAATCTGATAACTAGTCATGATTACAGATGGTTAACTATTAAAACTTAGAAGACTATAAGGGTGCTTGTGGTCGGATGTTTTTCGTCCTTGGTATTCACACATTGCAATTTGTCTGAACTCTTATTTTACGTTTTTGATCTGAACGGGTCTGGTCTTTTCGTTTTTTTTTTTTTCACCACCAGACGAGTGTTTTTTTTTTTTTTGTTTCTTAGAGAGAGAAGGGTTGGATTTGTATCCCCTTTTTATATGTATATATCTTTATTTGAATCTCTTGTTCATTGTGAAAATAGTTCAGATTGATATTATATCAGAAGACCTGTTATTATTGCTATCTGTGTAATCTTCATATTTCATAGACTTTTGCTCAAAATTCTCATATGAATGATGGCAGTAAGCATTGACTGAGAAGAAAGTAGAGGAAAAAAGATTGTATAATATGAATTAGGTACTAGGAAAAAAGTATAATAGTCGATTAGACATTTTTGTACTGCCAGAACCATTGAATTTGTCCGAATTTACGTACCAGTTGTATGTGTGACAATGTGTGTGTTTTCATCATCCTTATGGTGTCATTGTGCCTGATCTGTGTATTTACCTGCTGTCACATGTATGTTCCATTTTATACTTGTTGCATCTGAAGGACTTTGTCTATATAACAAATAAAACAAGCTTTGTTTCATCCTGTTTTATTGAACCAAAATTTTCCTTCCTGTAAGTCTATGTGTCAGTTTAACTTTTTTTGTTCATGTAATTTAGAGCTGTATTTGTAGTGATGTATAAGAGACAGAAAGAAAGAAAGGAATGATAACCATATGGAAAATATATTTGAAAAAAAAATATTAAGTTCACTCTAATGGACTTTGAATCCATGGTATAGGTAAGTAACCATGATTTTTTTTGCATAGACTGATGTTAAGAAAATCCATGAGTGTTGAAAAATCTCATTTTTACTATAAGACTAGGTGGGCAATATCGTGTTATCCAACATTAACACAATGGATATGGAAAAGTCATTAATTTTGCTTACATTTCGTATTTATTGTATCGATTCACAGAACTGACAAATCAGTATAATGGAATATGGAATTTTACCAACTGCAATCAGCTGAATATATAAAGTTTAATATATATGCTTAGA